TGCACAGACGGGGTCTGGAAAAACGGTGAGATGAGAGCAGAGTTGAATTTAACATGAGCAGTAAATGTGATTAGATCGAAATGAAATTCCTCGTCCTTCTGCAGGCTGCATTCCCGCTGCCCCTCCTGCATCTGCTGAGGGTAGGCGGTCATCATCTTTCTTCAGTGAGCTGCAGGAGCCTAAGGCCATTATTGTGGCTCCAACCAGGGAGCTTATAAACCAGATTTTTCTGGAGGCCAGGAAATTTGCCTATGGGTATAATTTTATAACAAACTGTGGCTATGATTAAAAAAACAAACAACATTGAGGTAATAAAAGAGCTGCTTCTGCTTCTTCTTTCTCCCAGAACTGTTGTGCGTCCAGTGGTTGTTTACGGTGGAGTCAGTATTAGACACCAGGTTAGTGACCTTAACAAGGGATGTAATGTCCTTTGTGGAACACCAGGGCGGCTGATGGACATGATAGAGAGAGGAAAGGTAAAGATAAACAAAAGGATTTGCAACTGCTTGAGTTTGTTGTCATTATAAAGGGTCTGAATACGGATGCTGTGTGATCATCTTAGGTTGGGTTGAGCAAGGTGCAATACTTTGTTCTGGATGAGGCTGATCGAATGTTGGACATGGGCTTCGAGCCAGATATGCGCCGCCTGGTTGCCTCTCCTGGAATGCCATCTAGGGAGGGCCGTCAGACACTGATGTTTAGCGCTACCTTCCCTGAGGAAATCCAGAAGTATGAGCCTTTATCTGCTGCGATTATTTTAACTGTTAAGGAGAAACATATGTTTCACACTTTTTCTTTTTTCTTTTAAAGACTTGCAGCGGACTTCCTCAAGCCAGACTATCTCTTCTTGGCTGTCGGAATAGTGGGTGGAGCTTGCAGTGACGTAGAGCAGACGTTTATCGAAGTTGGCAAGTTCTCAAAGAGGGAACAGCTTCTTGATCTTGTGAAGACATGTGGTACTTTTTTATTTTTAGTTTTTTTTTTAGCTTATTCCTGCCACAGACAGATTTCTCCAATACAGTCTAATGTTGCAGGAAATGAGCGCACCATTGTGTTTGTGGAGAAGAAGAGACAGGCGGATTTTATCGCCACATTCCTGTGTCAGGAGAATGTTCCAACCACCAGCATTCATGGGTACGTTACATGTTCAACACTTGTACAGCAACTACTCTGGACTTGTATAGGTGTAATAATATTTTATTTTGTACTGCAGGGACCGTGAGCAGTGGCAGCGAGAGCAGGCCTTAGCAGACTTTAAATACGGCAAATGTCCAGTCCTGGTTGCAACCTCTGTGGCAGCCCGCGGTCTGGATATTCCTGATGTTCAGCATGTGGTCAACTTCGACCTCCCAGGCAGCATTGATGAGTATGTTCACCGCATTGGGAGAACTGGCCGCTGTGGGAACGTGGGTAGAGCGGTGTCTTTCTTTGACACAGATGTTGACGGTCATCTGTCTCGCCCTCTGATTTCCATCCTGTCGAAGGTGAGAGCTTGGAACTGGGCTATTTTTTCCAAAAGTGATTTAAAAGGAAAAACTCCAGTGGTCATGTTTGAGTTGTCATTGACAGGCTCAGCAGGAGGTGCCTCCTTGGTTGGCGCAGTTGGCTTTTAGCAGTGCCAGCTCTGGAGGAAACTTCAACGCCAACAAGAACAACTTTGCTTTTACAGATTCCAGGAAGGTAACAGTACCAAGATCAGCCTTTTTTATTTTCAGTTCTCTGTGCTTTTCTCTCAGTGTTTTTTTCTATTTCCTTTTTGTTTAGGGTCAGCAAAGAGGATCATCTTTTCAGGGCAACACTGTGCAGAGCCAGGTGACAGCTGTGCTCCAGCCTCCACCTGAGGAAGAGGAAGAATGGGAGTAGAGAAATTACATGGAGCAGCAGTGCCACACATTGACCAGTTTAGTTGTTGTTTTTCATTTGTTGCAGTGTGTGGAGTTTTATCACAGTATTTTTGCTACTGTGAACAAAAAAGACAAAAATGTTTATAATGTCATGTAAGATTCTGAGATTCAATCTGTTGTGGTTATACCAAAGGTTTTTTTTCCCCGCAAAAGTAGAAGTGAAAATGTGAATTGACGACAAAAGGGGTAAAACCACTTCATGTCAGAGGAGACAACCATGGGATTTCTTTTATTCTTCTGTTTTTTTGATAAATAATTGCATTAAAATGGTTAATGTCTTGACGATAAGGACCAATAAATGGATGTAATCCAAGCAAAGCCTCCAGAGTTTGGCTCCACCAATGTTATAACAGAAGCCTGGAGTGTTTACACACATTTTGATGGCATGAGTTTTTGTTTGAAAAGGTTTCTGTACATGGAAAAGCCCAGATCCATGGACTGTGGTGATCTTGTTGCTGGTTGCGCCTATTTTCTGTTTTAGGTGAAATTGTAATAATAGGTCTTTAAACAATATTAGGCTCCAAACAGTGAAGACCTAAGTTAAATTGATATCAGACTGCAAGATGTTCTGTGAAGTACAGTAATTCTAAACCATTGCTTCAGTTAGGTAGTTCACAGTTTCTTTTACACAGAAACAAACCTAATATACTAAAGGACTATTTAATAATGGATTTAGAACTTAGTAAAGTCAAGTTTATTTGTTTTTATATTCAAACTTTTTACTTTTCAGTTGTTAAAGTGCGCTTTATTACATTCCTGTCGTTTTTGTAAGTGTTGCTAACCATTATTTTGTTATTATGTTTATCATCAAAATTAAGGTTTAAGGCGTTAGTTTTTAATGAAAAAATATACCAGTTTATGAAGGTCCTAAAATAACGTGTCGTGTAATAAAACCGCTCGCATTTTTTAAACAAAAGAAAATTATTCGTAATAACTACTATTATAGAACATTCTTCCCCTATTGTATGTTTAAGTTTAAAATGTATTAACACGCATTTTTACAGCAAGTAATAAAGAATAAAAAATAAAATAAAACAAAAAAAATGTATATTTGTTAGAATTAACAAATAACGCTTCCTGGTTTGTAGCTCCGCCCACTTTAGTTTGATTGGTCAGCCTCTTGTTTCCAGTTTCAAATGTTTGTTTTTACCCGGAAGCGTCCGACCTAGAAGCAAAGACTCGATTTGTCTCAAGAAAACTTAAAAGAGAGATAAAAATGAATTAAGAGCCAATAGTTTGGGGTCTGAAGTTGACATTAGGCATGAAAGCAACAGCTAAACATAAGGTAAGCGCATAGCAGGCGAATTGCTACTGTCAGTGTCACGATATTGCACAAGATAGAAAATATTAACCCTAGTTCCAGAAAAGTCGATTTTTTTCACTAACAACTAAAACTAGTTTAGCTCCTTAGCTTAGCTCAATAGTCCTTTATTTATCAGGAAAATAGGTTGATATCATCCGCTGTTTCATTTACCAATTTTATTTGTGCGGTTTGGTTCAACAGTGGGGAAACTGCATTTTTTGACTGTGTGTGTGTGCGCCATGTGACCCACAGGTGGTGACATCGGGGAGATTGACCGGTGGAACCAATGTGGCAAAGGCCAGGCGATTGTGAGTAAACTGGCATCCATATTTATTAACTTATTTTTAAAACTCACTACTCTTGGTTAACATTAAACACAAATTACATTTTATATTATTCTGCTAACATTTTCTCTTATATGTGGATTCAGGGTGACTCCAGCGGCACAACCCGAGCCAGCCTACTCTCTGTACTCCACTGAGTCTGAGGATCAGGTACATATAAAATGTCAATGCGTGTGTTTGTCTACCATATGGCCGTTTATCACTTTAATGTAAAGGCTGAAAATACAATGCCAAGTTTGTTGTCATTTTCAATTGCCAAAGAATTTGTTAAACATCAAATTACTGACTTAAAGTAATCTTAAAGAAAATCTTTCAAATTTGGACTATTTTACAAGAGAGGGTTATGAGAGAGTGGTTATGAGAAACACTGTATAAACTTACAGTGATATTGAGTTGAAGGCTGAGTTGATGATTCATGTGATCACTGATGCTGTGTGTTCTCAGGTCACTTCTCTTCACAAAGGTCTGGATCGCTGTGCTGCTCTGCTCAGTGACATTCTTCAAGCTGAAAAGAGAGGTAGGATTTTCTTTCACATTGAGTCCAAATGTAGTTAATGGCAGTTTTGTTGCTGATTTCTGATTGTAACTGAGCTCTAATCCATGAACACACAGCTCACTTCTTTAAAGTTTGTGCTTGCCTTGCTGCAAAACATCAGCAGTAATTTAAAATGTGACAGAAAATACAAATATATTTATCACAATGTTATATTTGTGTTTTGTTTTTTGTGAAAGTTTCACCCAGCCCTTCAAGAGCAGCAGCAGGTCGGACACTAAAATCAAGGCCTTCCACCTCACTGGGCAAAAAGAGCATGAAGAAACTGACTAAAAAGACAGGTGAAAATCCAGTGGTAATTATTTTTTACAAATAAAATGTAGCTAATAAATACGTTTTTCCATGTGAAAAATATCTCCACACAGATGAACTCTTTGACCCCAAAAGTATTATGAGTTTTGGAGTAGTAGTGTAAACACAGAGCAAGTTACTGCCCATCCTGCCGTTAGGGGGTGCTAGAGCTTGTCAGGTGGCGTTACTTTAACCGTATATAATAATAAGTAATCGAATATACCACACTGTCAATACTGGGCTGGATAAAGTGACCACAGTTGATTTTGCTGGACACTTTTTTGCAACACATTGAGACTTTAATAACGATAGTTAAATACACAAATAACTAATTTAATAATTTACCAACTACTCTCTCGGCATATTCGTATGTATTAGGATGGATTCTTGCAAGAAAGGAGATGTATTTATTTATTTCATCATCACCAACCTTCATTATCATTTATTCTTGTGAGGATGAATTCAAAAATATACTTCTGTGTGTCTCCAGTCCAGAAGACTCCTCAGTCATCTCAGTGTAACAGCACTACTCCTAAAAGAGCTCAAAAGTTCACTGCTCCGCCTCCGCATATGGGAGTTAAGCTGCACCCACCGAGACGGCCTACTCCCCAAAAAGCTGGCGCCTCCCCCTCAATCTGTCCAACTAAGCCCCATACTCACACCCCATCACCTCAACCCCAGTCTTCTGTCCTACTGTCTGTGCTCCAGTCGTCTTCTCAGCCCGGCCGGAAGCCTTTCCGTCAGACAGAGTGTAATGATGTGGAAGAGGAGACTGTCCCTGTGAGAGACACCGACAACCAGCTGCCTCTCAAATCGAACTCCCCTCATGTTCTTGATGGTTCTGTGAAGCTGTCAAATGCCTGTCTGGAATCTGGAGGTAACAGTGAAACCCCGCAGGTCATATTTAGCTGCACGGAGAAGGAGGTGAAGGAGAGGACAGCAGAGTATCTTCTGGGACAACTGAAGACTCTGATCGCTGGACAAGGTAAAACTTTATGTTAAACTTATGGGCTTTTCTTTGGCTTTTACCACAGAGCTCATTTTGATGTTAGAATCTTAGTCTACACAGGTTAAAGGTTGAACATGCAGGACTTTCATTAATAAAAGTATAAAATTGTGCTTACGCGAGTCAGTGGAAGTGTACAGTGTAACTCAAGTAGATCAGCTCTCAGATTCAGACCTTTGTGTATTTTTTCGTTTGTAAATGTTAAGAATGTAGATGTAATGTTTTAAAATCTGGATTCATGTATAAAATAGGCAGTTATAAACATTTTAAGAAGTTGTGCATTTACCTGTCCTTCTGTAATTATTTACAAGCTTGCATGTGTATTTCCTTTTTCTTGTAGTGAATCACTGTTCTATATGTTCTAGAAGAAGAGAAGTTTTGACCAAGTTATGAGTTTAGATCTATGTCAAACATTAATGGTTGTATATTGTATCTATTTGCAGGCAGTGTAGCTGAGAACTTGCTCAGTCGTCTGGAGGAAGTGATGTCGTCACCAGTGCTGTCACTGAGTGACAGTTCATTAAATGTCCAGAGAGACGGTGTTTCAGATTTGTCGTCACTGCACAGACAGAACATTCAGCTGCAGAGGTGGGAAAATGACAAACATGATGATACGTTCTCCATGGGAGTTTGCATTTATCAGCCACATTCAACACGTGTCTCTCTACATCAGGGAGGTGATGATTCTGAACCAGCGGTTGATGGAGAAAGAGATGGCAGGAATCCAGGGTAACACAGAGACACTCTACATTCCTCAGGGTAAAGGCTCATGTTGCTCTTTTACAAATACACAGTCAAGGTCCCAGTCAGTGATGCATCGGTGTTGGAAGAACTTATGCTGCATTGTAATTGGTAATGATATTTTCAGCATACACTACAGTGTCTCACTGTTGTACGGTTACCTTGTCAACTCACAGGACGGCCACGATCCAAAAATGAATAATGCAATTAAAGAAGCAACAGTGTTTCAAACAAATTTCATAATGTTTTAAAATTTAAATGTTAGTGCATTATAAAAAACCGTGTCTCTCTCTCCTACCCACAGTGACAGCTGTAATGAAGGAGCTCACTGCAGCTCAGTCCCGACTGCAGGAGCTGCAGCACGATCTGAAGGAGCTACGGGAAGCTCTGCATGACACACAGGACAAACTGAAGAGTCAGGAGGCACACAACAAAGTTATTACAACAGGTTTGTTCTTAAGTTATACGTATGAAGAAGGTCTACAGCGATGTTGCTCTGCCTTTTTTGAGCCACGGCTCATGTTTTACATTACACCAAAGCAATGATGTCACAAAAAGGTATATGTTATCAAATAGATGATCTTCTAATTTTAGTCTACTTACACTCAGTTGTATTGTTTGCAACAGGTAGTCACATATATATATGTGTGTATATGTATATGTGTATGTACAGTATATGTGTATATATATGTGTATATATGTATATATATATATATATATATGTGTGTATATATATATGTCATCTGCTGTCACCTGTGGGAAAGTATGTAATTGTTCTGCCCGTCACTGTCACACAACCAGCACAGATAAATTGATGACAGTAAATAATTAAAAATTTTCTGGCCAGTAAAGTGAAATAGGATCATTTTCTGCAGTACACCTGATGATCACTCATGACACACTAATGTTCCATGGTACAGTGGTTGAGAATCACTGACCAACAACTCATACTATGTAAAGAAGTTGCTCACGGGTGGATCATAGACAGACATTTGTGTGTATATAACATATGATAAATCTAACCTGGTAGGTGTCCTACCATTAGAGATGAGTTTAATGTTGACATTAAAATGAATAATTATAACTAATTAATGTAATGAGTCATTTCCCACCACTAATTATAAACCTGCATGTCTTTGATGACGTTGAGTTGTTATTTTTATAGACTTGGAAGCAGCTCGCAGCAGACTGGTTGATGTGGAGAGAGAGAAGAACAAGTTCTCTATACTGGCCCAACAAAGACTGGAGGAGATGGAGAACCTGAAAAGGCAAGTCTGTTTCTGTGTCAAATAACGAATGCAACTGATGAGTGGAGGATGATTGGCCATTAAGATGATCGTGATCGTGCTTCTTCTCTGAAGGATGCTCCAAAGTCAGAAATCACCAGATTGTCCTCCAACTATGATCAGATCTGTACTGACGACACCACGTCAGACTCCATCAGAACACATCGCTCACTACCTGAGGTCGCTAAGCCTGCTGGGATCCACACACGCTGACCAGGAGACAAGAGGCCACAGCCATGATTTGGACGCCCAAGCTCCTCCTGTCCACCATTGTCACGGTTCACAGGCAACTGGACAGCAGCTGGACTCAACCCTGTCCCAGTGCGACACAGAATCAGAATTGTGCAACTGGAGCATGAGGTCAGACTCCACCTTTGACACCAGAGACGAGGTGGCGTTCAAAGACGGCCTGGCAGCTCTGGACGCCAGCATCGACAGTCTGTGGAAGAACCTTCAGCTGGAGTTGAGGAGGTGAAATCTGTCCCCGGTTTAAGATCCGTTTTTTTAATATTTTTATTTTAACATTCGTCATCTGGAATTTGAAATAAAGCAATATCTAACATTATTGTACTGGCGCTAATTTTGGCTGATTTCTCTTACTTCCTTTCCTCTGTGGCCTCGATTTTGATTTTGCACATGAAAAACTAAGAGAGTTTGATTTCTGTAAAACTGCAAAAACTGGTTTTAATGATAAGAGACAAAACTACAACCAGTGTAAAAACAGCTGTAAGAAAACAGTAAATGTCACTGTGGCACTTTAAAATGTTATAGCACATCAGTGCAAAAACACATTCAATTTTCTTTTGTGATACACACATTTAAAATAGCTGTCTTCAAACACAATAGCATTCCATTTGGTTGATCAACAGCTGCAGTCTTTGAATTTTCACTGCAGAAGTGTGTCCCTGTAGAGTCAGACCCAAACAAAAGGATTTCTACACAAACAAATGCTGGAAATAAAAACAAGCACAAACACGAATTACCACAAAAATATCAAGTATTTACCAACACAAACTGATTAGTAAGAGACACAAAGGAAAGCTGGTGATGACTGAATTAGTCCTTAAACTAATTTAAATCCACTGGGGTGTCTTAGTGCAAAGTAAAAAAAAAGATTATAGTAGGGAACAAACACAGAAGGACGCTAGTTGTTGTTTAAATAACTAAGTCTCAGATTAACGATAAACACTGCTTAAACCAAACCAAAATGGCAGCACTGTTCAACAATGCTGTGCACGAATAGAGTCTGTTACAGGATCTTAATGTCTGGAAATTGCACTAAAAATCTGTTGTCACGACCTTACTGTGTGACCAAAGTCCATACAGAAAAACATCAGTTTTAAAGGGCCATACACTGTAGTTGTTTTAAACACTTTGTTTTCAAATTCAGCATTTGAAATATTATTTCAGAGTAACTTCTGTGAATAAAACACATTGACAAGTCAGAGGTAAGCAGGTCCTGTCCATGGAATTTAAGAAAAAGCATTTTGTTATGGACTTTGATATAACATAGTGATTGGTAATTCTTGAGTCAAACAACGCTTCTGTCTGATACCTGCAGAGGTGGAGGTGAACTGACAGTATTTATGAACCATTGCAGAGTTGGAGAGTGCAATCCACAGCTCTTCCGTGTCTCTGCTCTGGCTGAATGTCACCCAGATCTTCAGCTGTGTCTCCAAATCCATGGTAGTGTCCGTAATACTGAGCGTCGCTGCAGTCTGCTTCCATCAGCCCCCACCAGGCAGTATGTTCAGATAAGCTGCTACCAAGGCTTGTGTCCAGGTGTAGTGAGCCACACATGTCGGCCACAGAGGTCCTCCTCTGCACCAGTGGTTCTAGATGATTGTCTAGTGATGTTGGAGTTACATCCTGGTCATCATCTCTGCTCGGAGGTGACATCTGCTGGTGGACTTCACCTGATTGAGAATTGAAAGTTAAACATTAACTGAAATCCTAGCAGCTCATCTACAATTTTACAGAGGCTTCAAGTCCCACCTGAGTGGAGATGATGTGGATCCTCCAAGTTCATATTCTCCACCTCCTCATCTCTATCACTGTTCATCTGCATCAATGTGCCTGGAGCTGAAAAAAAGGATGTTTTTTAAAAAGAAGGGCCCTGGCACTAAATTGGAAAATATTTACTAATGTCACAGGGACTTCCTACGTATACTGTATGTAGAGGCATGGTCTGTATGGTCAACAGTTTTTTGGAAATGGTCAAGTTCATTCTTTGGGTCTGTTTTAAGAAAAAAACCCCAAAGAATGACTGAGTTGACTTTACTATAACTTCTTACTCTCTGCTCTCCTGGCTTTCTTCTGGTGACCACTCTCCTCAGTGCTCGTCAGCCTCTTTCTGCCTGGTCGCTCCTGACACATGGGAATGTTTCCGTTGTCCACGTGGCTCACAAAGCGGCCACTGAGCTGTACATGGTGCTGGTTGGCGTTGGAGATGAAGATGAAACAGTCGAGGTAACCGTGATGGTGGGCCAAGTCTGCTGCTGTTTGTCCCCTGGAGTTCTTTAAACTGGGGATGGGGAAAAGAGCTGAGGTTGAGACAAACTTTCTCTTGTCGGGAAAATACAAGTCACATCTCTAAACGGCCTGTTACATACACTTGTGACAGATCTGGGGCAGATTATAAGGTCAAAGAGGAATAGTTCAGGGTTTTGAAAACTCTTGTTGTATGAACACAAGAACAAAACTCCTGGATCTTAAATACCAGCTGACAACAATATTCTGTCTTTGATCAAAAATAAGTCAAGTCACAGCTTATGTTTGTATCTTTGAGCCTGGGATTCTACTTTTCTCGACGCTCCACAGAACAGTTAAAGGGGTCCTTCGTTTAAGGCGTCCACAACCTACGGCATTGCCTGGTTATGTCGCTATCTCCCATACATTTATTAAGAAAGTCTTGTTGTATCATTCCAACGTGAAGCATTTAAACTTGGCACAGGAAGTAGTGAAGCGGTGGAGGGGATGAATACGTCATCACGCTATATGTAGGCTTTATAAGACAGCTTTGTATACTCTCCCCAGTTGTACGCCATACATTATATTGTGCTACATTTGCTTTCTTTTGTTTTTGCCCTTCATTATGGCTCCCAAAGACAAGTCAGACTTTTCTGATGTTTTTACATCCTAGATCATGATGTTACCACTTCGTTAGTGTACAGTATGTGAGTTCAACACTTACTGTATGTGAAAATTGAGTTATGTTGCACCATAGGAATGGAATTCATCATAGAAATCAAATCCAGCATGTCTGCTTTGGTAAAATAAGATTAAAACCCATTTTAGCTATTGACAGCTCTGGATTTAATTGTTTTTTTTTTCATCTTTTTCTTTCTTCACACACAAACTTCTAGGTGAACTGAAGAATTTTTACGGTATTATACTCTTTATCATCTACCAAAATCGGTGTGGTTGGTTCATCTTCTTCTTTTCCTTTCGGCTTGTTCCTTTTTCAGGGGTTGCCACAGTGAATCATTGTTTTCCATCTCTCCCTGTTCTCTGCATCTTCTACTCTGACTACCTGGTTCATAGAACCTAAAACTCGACAAACAGACAAACCTGAACTATTCCTCAAATTTTGTCCATGTTAATACGACATGTCATGTGTGACGAAGGTTAGCAAAGTGTTACAACAAGACATTTAGTTTTAGACATTATCTGTAGACATGCTTTGTTACAAAGACTACAGAAAATTACCCTCCTCCTCCCGAGAAGGTTAGTTGTAAGTCAACTCATGCAGGTCTAAAAAAACAAAAACAAACAAACCATCAACTCATTCGACCAAGCCCTGCAGAAAGTACCTTGACAGTTTGCCAACAGCAGATATTGTAGGGAAGCGATAGTGAGCTCTCATTGCTGCAACTGTTAGACGCTCATCAACTGTGTGTACCACATTCTGTAGTGCTTATATGGACTGCTCCAAAAACTTCAATCATGTTCAATCTGAGTGGCTGTAAAACATCAGAACATGCATTGGAGTCCTGGTCTCTGCCAGTGTACATGTTGCTGACATGATAAGACTTTTTTCTTACTCAAACAGACAGTCTTTTCAAACACTTCTGATTTAACATAAGATGAATTATATTTACCAGCTTTGGTTAAAAGGCCACATGCCGCTGTGGTGCTTACGTAGCACAAAAGAGCTGCCAATTATCTGCTCAGTGTCAGAGATGTCAGGTAACTTACTGTGGTTTAGCACCAGCTACAAGCAGCACCTGCATACATTCCAGGCTTCCTGCGCACGCTGCTTTATGGATGGGAGTATCACCTAAACAGTCCTGAAAACACAAGATTAATCCCTTTAGGGGTACATAATTTAAAAATGGTACTTACAGACGTCTCTAAATATAACAAATCCCCCAAAATAACGCAAGTCTCAAATTTAATACGATTTTCTAAAATGCTAACATCTAAAATGGCAAATGCGCTCCCTCTAGCGGCAGACAAAGGGCACTGCGGTATGTCGGTGCCGCGTGACTGACCTGTCTGTTGACATCGGCTCCAGCCTGGGTCAACCACAGCACACAGTGAGGATGTCCTCTAGTGGCTGCAGCATGTGTCGGTGTCTGGTTGAGGTGACTGGTCTCCATGTTCACCTCACAGCCCATCTGAACGAGTAGCACTAAACACTCTAGCTGTAGAGAGCAGAGAAGACATTTGCACGGCATGATAATAATAATAATAATAATAATATCACTGTATTATTGTTCTCTGAGTTTTTAATGCATGTTCAACAATGAGCCTTTTTTATTTTTTACATTTTTTTTATTATTACAATTGCAACGCAAAGAATTGGTAATACATGTAAAAAGCCAAACGTCAGATAATGTCAATGAACTATATTATTATAAATGTTCAAACTTCCTGGTCGAAGTTTGGCGCCTGCGTCGTCATTGGCTACAAGGGAACCAATGGAAATGATGCATGTTTTTGTTAAGTCAAACCACTTTATTTTATAGTATATGCTGAAATAACAAATGTAGTAGAGACTGTTACTAAATAGAATAATTGGGATGTTTTCACGTTAAAATGAGTCACTAGTATTCACCGCCATTTTGTTTGAATGTAATAATAGAATAAAAAGTAAAGACAAATATAAAGCTGTAGCCGAGCTATAGTTCGGTTGCCAAAGTTTTTTCTTTTCAAATAAAAAAACACAAAAACGTGGGTGTTCAGTGAGTACCTGTCCAAAGTATGCAGCCCAATGTAAGGGCGTCCAGCCGTAATACGGGTCCTCCGCGGTGAGCGCAGCCAGGCTGGAGAGCTGCTCGGACAGCGACAGCAGAGCTCCGACATCTCCATCCCGGCAGGCGCGGTGGATGGGGAAACGGCTCACCAGCGCCTCATCAACGGGTATGTCCAGCGGTAACTCTCCCGCTGACATGAGTGAAGCACTAGCTGACATGGAAACGTATTCCTTTGCTTTCCACTGTGATCGCTCAGGTTAATAAATAACTTTTAAAATTGTTTTAGAACACAAAGGAAGAGGAGGTAAGCTTCTGTCAGCGGCGGGAGAATCACAATACCCGGACAGGACTCTGTCAGGATTGGGACCGGATTACCTCGGAAGCCGTTCTAAAATAAACTACTGCCATCTCCTGGTTTACTTTGCTAAGAAAAAAATAGCATTTAATTCAAGAGGCCGACCAGAAAGAAGAGTAGAGGAGATAACGACGCGCTAGCAGGAACATGTCAGGTGGCGGGAATGGGCAAACGTTGAGTCAAGAAACCAAGGTAAAAGAAAACACCCAATTAAATAATGCTGTTTGTCTCTGATTATCACTCAAACAAAAGATGGACTCTGGTGCAGTTAAGCGAGTTAAGGCACTGCTTCTTTTTTTAGTAGTTTTTAGTTTTTAGAATCACAGTGAGCCCTTCTTCTGCGGGTGTTCCTTTTTTAGCCACATTTAGCTAATCAGCATCCCAGGCTGACAGAAAGGCGCCTATGAAATAAAATGTATTATTGTTATTATTATTATCTGGCCTTGTCGTAAACGTAAACGTGTAGATATTAAATATGTTTTTCTAAAATAGCCATATTAGCATTCGACTAATGATAATAAACTGGATTTTTATACTTAGACACACAGAACGATGTTCCTTTCTCCCCCAAAATCAGCAGAATAAGGCCTTTTAAGGTTTTATTTTGAATTTGCCTCAGGAGGAATACGTCAGAGTGAGGAAGAGTGATTTGGACAGTCTGACCACAGAAGTCATGCAGATGAAGAAGTTCCTGCCCAAAGTGCTGAATAAAGACCTTAAAGAAACAGTGCGTAAAGTGAAGACAGCTCAAGCAGGTGTGTGGATGCCGTGTGTGTGAGGTCTTGAAGTGTGTACAGGTTCATGTTAAATACTTAAAATATGCCTTTATTTAACTTTCCAGTTGTAAAGCATCACGAGAAGGAACGGGAACAGCTGCGTCAGCAGTGTTTGCATCTTCAGTCACGGCTGGATGCGTCACAACGTGAATGTCAGAAAGAGAGAGAGGTGAGAGAAAGAGCAAGAAATATACAATTTTGCTTTATTGGACCTTCTTCTTCTTCTTCTTTTTCTTTCGGCGTTGTCCCTTTTTTCAGGGGTTGCCACAGCGAATCATTTATTTACTAATTGTCCTGTTCTCTTTTTCTCCCTGTTTATTGGACCTTCATTGATTTTTCTAAATTTAAAACACATTTACATTTTGATAAATACATTTAGCTAAATAAAAACAAATAATGTCTCAGGTTTCACATTGACTTTTATTGTTAACGGTTTTTCCTAAAATGATGAGATAAGAAATAATCTGGTTGCATGCAGGGCAATAAAGGAAACATTAGGACGAGGTTTACTCAGGGCGCCCTCTGTTGGAGGATGGGGAACTTATTTAGGTTGTGCACTAGTAATGAGTTCTAATTGGCTATTCGAGAACCTGGCAATTTTACATTAAACTAAACAGTGAGTGTAAGCTGTTAGACTGACAATTAAAAAATGAATCCACAACCACACACGTTCTCTATGTCTTTGTGCAGGAGAAGCTGCTGTTGCGTGAGCAGCTGTGGCAGAGCGGTGCAGAGCTGCAGCAGCAGGCCGACTTCTGCTCCGCTCTGGGATCAGCCACCTGCAGTCTGCTGTGGAGCTGCTCATCCAGCGAGAATGCGGTGGCACAGTGGCTGGCTGATGTAACTTACCTGAGCGTGTGGATCAGACTTATCTTAATGACAGTCAGGATATACAGTACTTGTGTACATTATGATCATGTGTGTATGTGTTCACTGACTGCAGGGAAAGCTGCCGTCATTCCTAGGTGTAGCTGCTCAGACTCTGGAGAGCTTTGTCGACTCTTTGGACGCAGAAGTAAAAACTCAAACCGAAGACCAGAACTCCCTGGAGCATCAGTTTGTTTTAGCTCTGGCTGGAACTGTAACAAGTGAGTTCACTGCCTCTGTATTACCATTCATATATTACATGTACATATATATATCTATGTGTTGATTGTCAGGAATTTACAGCTGAAAACCCTCCTGCCTTCTGCAGACATAGCTGCTGTGCCATGTGGTCGGAACTTCCTCTCCAGCTCGGCTCACGACCTCCTGGACACTCTGATGAGGCTTCTGGAGCAGATGGACTCAGGTGTTTTCCCCAAACTGAAAGTGTACGTGGAGAAAAATACCTGTCGTTGTTTACTAGTAAACTCTCAGAACTTTTTAAAAGATTCACTGCCATCAGGCTACACTGTAGTCACAGTTCAGTCTATTAAATATTAGAACCAGTTAAATTAACAATGGAATCAGTGCCAGTGGGTGTCAGTGATGCACTGGTCTCTGCTTGTGCTGCAGGTTAATGTTGATGGCCCTGTATAATGTCAGCATCAGTGTGAACGGGCTGAAGCACATGAGTGAGAACCCAGGACTCCTGCCTCTCATCTGGACCAGGATGAACGGTGAGGATACAGTTTGAAAACCGTGTCCAGAAGAGTGGGTCATTTACCTCAAACCTTTATTTAACCTCCGAAAGGACAAAGAAGACTTTTTCACTCACTTTTCATTTTGGTAACATATGAACCAATTTTATTGTCGTTACACATATATAGGAATACACACAATGTATTTAACTTATTGGACTATTCCTGGGTATCTATAAATATATGTATTAAATGTGTTGTTGATGGGTTAAGTGCAAGGATCCTGGGATCAGTGATCTCAACACAGCGATATATAAAACTACTGGAGGATGAACAGGCTTGGCTTCATGAGTCCCTTTAAACACACCTTGATTTCTCTGTGTCACAGACGGAGACTGGGAGGTGTGTCTCCACTCTCTGCGTCTCCTACAGTCTGTGCTGTTGGAGAAGGAGGCGGTGCTCCTGTTCGGCTCCTCCTTGCTGGAGCCAGAACTCCTGGCGTGTGTTACCCAGCTCAGCTCCAGTAACAAGCCTAGTCTGAAACAGGCTGCACAGCAGACCCTGGAGGATCTGCACGCCCTTCAACAGGTACGGTGTGTGACACTCACTCATGACATCACATCTGTTCTCAACGATCCTAATCTGTGGTTGGCTGATGTGAACACCTCTCTGACATCATCATCATCCACTGCTGTGACTTCAACATTTTTATTCAAAACAACCAGGGTAAATATAAACCACCAGAACGTAACATATTTGTGTTTCCAGAAACTGGAGTGTAAACGGAGTAGCCTGTGATGTGGATCAGCATCTTCACTCCTCCTGTCCAGTGTTTCTTCATTTCTTTCTTCCTAAACTATTATTCAACAATTGAGGAAAGTATATAGTACAGTTCGGAGAGCTTCTGTCCGTGTCATCGCTCAGTCAAACTTAAAACAAAACACTGAACATCCAAACCCTTCAAATTGTGTTTGCAATCGTTTAGTTCCCTGTTCATCAGATTGAACCATGATTAAACCTTTTGTTAGTAATTTGTAGATTTTATGTTTACTTGTGTTTCTCAAATGGCCACATGGTGGCAATCTTTGAAAGAACACAAATGGTTGGCTGTTGCAATCCCTGGACAAACCAGGTTTCCTCACAGAGCCCCAAAACATGTATGTGACACCCAAGCACTGAGCTGCAGAAAATGACAGGCAGAACAATTAAATACTCGTCCACTAGGTGGCAGCAAATGGCAAAAGATTTAAAAAGGGAGCTGCAGAGTCTTTGAAGATCTTTGTCTTCTCCAATTCCTGCCAGTACATCAGCATTGTGTTCAACTAAACCAGCTCATGTTTCACATTGAGTAAAACGCAGTGCCACCCCACGACCCTGCAAAGGATAAAGCAGAAGATTATAAATGAATTAATAAATAATTAATATTTTTGGAATAGAATTAGAATAACTATCAGGTGTGATGCTATAACCAGATCCCTCTGTGCAGGAAATATATTTTTCTTAATTTTAAAAAAAACAGAATCATCGTTTGCACTGATAAAAAATAACATGCTCGGGGCGTGGCGGTTGGGGACATGGTTGAAGTGAGAGTGTCGTACTGTGGTGTGGAGCTCTACATTCAGATTCTTATTTACTACAGCACTTTGGTTCATAGTGAGACCTTAATAAAGGCCATATGAAGAGTCTGATTCCTCATCAAGGGGAGAGTTAAATATCAACTCATAAATGCTGCTGCTCTCGTGCTTCTTCATTTAGACCTGTGATCTCAGGTGAGTCCTTTCACTCACACACTGAAAGAATGTGTCTCTCATACATAAATTCAGAGTGCATTTCTATTCACCACGTTTTTTTTTTCTTAGGGTTAAAGAAGGTTGGACGCTGTCCTTGTCTCAGATGATTGACAGACGTCCATTGACGGGCACCTGAAGGAACTTCCTGTCTGCACGGCCACAGCTGTAAAAGGCTGTGAACGACCACAGGTAAATGTCAGGACACTAGACATACAATAGGGTTTTGTTGGACCACAGGAGGTTTAGCAGTGACCCACAGGAAATGGAGCTATTCTTTCTGTCTGTACAGAGTAAAAGACGTGACGTGCATCAGCAGGCAAATTTATTAAAGAAAGTCTTGTTCAGATTTAACATGGGAACTAGTTGGTTAGCAAAGCAGAAAGGACGTGTCGTCAGGCGGTGCTAGACGTAGAAAACATCATTGTTTACATTCGACGGTTGCATGCGATACAGTGGATTATGCTACATTTGCTTTCTTTTGTGTTGTTTTTTGGGAAATCTTGCCCTTCATTATGACTCTTCTGATGTTTTATGTCCTAGATGATGATGTCACCACTGTGTTAGCGTAGGTGAGTGACATAGGTACTGATGTACAGTATGTGAGTTCAGACTTACAGTGGAAATTGTGTTATGTTGCACTGTAGCAACAGAATCGCTTTCTAATCATTTTCGGAGGCTAATGGCTGTGAGCTTGGAGCTAAGTTATATAAAAAGCATTTAGCAAAGCAGCTAAAAACCCAAGAACAATATTAAAAGATATATTAAGTCATAAAACATTTTTTTAACGTATTGTGTAATATTTTAGCGGTCTGTGGTTTTATATGTGAATATGTCATGTTGATACATAAACATAATTACAAAGTGGAATAATACATTCTTACATTTTCCCACAGACATGTTTAGTTTTAACGTTTCAAATTTCAAGTTTAAAAATAAAAAGGACAATGAGTGAGCTGTGAGAAAAAAGTGCAGTAAAGGAGTGAAATGGACAAAACAACAGTTCACTTTGTGAGGTCTGTCTGTCTCCCTTCCCTCCCTCCCCCTGCTTCTGTCTGCTGTCCAATCAGTGTCATCACACTCACCTGTGTCTCTGTCATCAGTCTCACTGGTGTCACCTGGTGGCCTGGGTATATATACCTCTGTCCCTCACTCAGTCCTTGTGGGGTTGCTGATGTGTGGGGAGGTATAGTAGTTGTTTATCTTCATTGTGGGTTTTTATGTTGCCTATTCTGTGTTCTTGTGTGTCTTGTTATTTTATACTGATTTATGTGTGCTTTACTGTTGTTCCTGCCTGGTCCTGTTTCCAAAAAAAAAAGAAGCTAAATCAAAGTGTTAAGCCCAAAAAATGTGCTTTTGACGAAGGAGGCCATAAAGTGAAAAACGTTCACAATTTACAATTAGTGTGCAGGAAGTCTCCTCAGTGTCAACGCCTTAATCCTCCAGAGGGAGAACCGGCGTGTCAGTGGTCATATGCTGTCCAGATTTCTCCCATGATTCATTAGGAGCTAATTGCCTCCCTGTTCAGCCCAGCTTTTTCCCAGAAAGCAGTGGCTCCACAGATGCTGCTGCTGCAGATTGTAATATGAGCGCAGACTTAAAGCTGTCAGTCAAATCTCACTGTGACCTTTCAGCAGAAAAGGATTTTTTTCCTTCACTTGGTTTTTAAGCGTGGGACTTTGTGTGTGTGTGCGTGCGTGCACATGTGTGTTCTTCTGTACTTCTGGGGTCCAATCTGTGAAATCTACATGGGTTTTACTTTTAAACAACACCTCACAAGAAATCATCTCACACACTTCACTAACAACAGGTGTCACAGAAACATTCACTAGCTTCAGTTGTATTATTTCTGACAGAAACTCAAAATTCTTAAAATGTAATCTCTTCCAAAAACTAATGATCATGTTCAATTTTAAGATATTTTTGTAACAGAATTATTTTAAAATATTATTTTTAAATGATTAACAATAAACTGCTTTTATTTGTGACACTTCCAACCAGTTTGGGACAAAGGTCGATATCTTGGCCTTCCACTATACATCACCTTTATTCTTATATCACATTTTAGTTGATTAATTAGTTGATTTAAATGTTAAATATACACACATATGTTTTTCTAACTTGTCTACTGGCTGCCGCTCCACTTGACATAATTCTGTGATGCCCACAAGAGAAACACAAACACAAAAAACACAGACACACACAAAAGTAGTTTGAAAGCAACCAGATACATTTAATTATATAATTGCTCTGTTTCTTCTTTTACCTGAAGACAGTTGTGTTTTTACAGTGCAGACAGTTAAAAAAAGAACAAAGAAATATGAGGAATCTGATTCTCTTTGAGTCAGGATAAAGCTGAAATTTCATCCAAACGGAGACAATCAAAGTTGAGGATTTAAGTTGTGATGCCTGCGAGCTATTTATGACAGGGTTCTTCCCATGTGACCACAGACACACACACAGATACACACTCTTCACACTCTTCAGTAACACTGTGAGAAAAAACAGCACAGAATGAATTGGTTTGTGGCACCAAATTAAACCAATACGTCAAAAATGTTCTGTTAGCAATAAAAATGAATTAATATGAAAGAAATAAAGGCGCTCAAGTTTTTTTTTTAATCCTGTGAATAATATTAACAATGGTATGGTAAAACGAGCATCTTATAACTTTATTCATTTATTTTTATCTTTTTTTCCCTCTAAATAATGTTTTCTAAACATGGATCAACACCTACATAATTTTCTTCTTTTAGATGTTTTTTTTTTCACGTTTTGGATTTTTTAATTCTTTTTGAGTAGATAAAAATAAAACTACAGTTTGGTTTAAAGTATACACAGAGAAGTGTTTTTCCATCCATAAAATATGTAAAAAATAAAACGGGTCAAATAATTTGTTTCATCAAAAAAAGCAACAAAGTGCAGTAGAGAGAGAGAGTGAATGGAGTCAGGCTTCAACACCAAGACTTAACGTCTGCAGAAAGGCAGAAAAATCCCTTAATTTAATATATTACACATAAATGTTTCTCTTTTGTCCACATGCCTTCTCCATATAAATATCTCACGGTGATAAACACTATGATAAAATCAAGTTTAGGTGAATTGTAAATGCATTTCTTATTATCTGAATTATATTAATATGTTATATAACAATGTCTGAACGTATCAACATGCAGAGTTTGTATAAAAGTGACAGCGTTATATCCTCCGTACATTAAGGCACATTAAGATGACATTTATACAATGAGTTTTCATCCATCTGTAGAAAAAAAACATCCCTGAATGTCACGGGTACAACATGCAAAGATATAAAGGTAGACTATGCTGGAATTTCCTCATTCATTATTCATGTGTTTTGTGTGGTTGGGAGGTTTTCATGTAAAAAAAATGCTCCCAGTGGAAAATAGATCCAGTAGGGGGCAGTGATGCCACTCAAAGGATACAGAGTAATTTTTACTACCCCCACTGTGCAGCAGAAGTCAGCTGTGGCAGCAAACAGAGTAGTTTTGGCATGGTTATAGGAGTATAAAGCAGCATACACAGAGTCTGCTGTGGGTAAAAAAGTCTTTTACAACATACTAGGTGAAAATGCAGTTGTAAAACGTACATGTTCGGGGTTTAACTTTTTTTAACTTTTTGTTATTCAAAAACATTGAACAAAGACATTTTTTGTAAGAGCTACATGCTCTACGGTCAGAATTCCTGCATACCCTTCCCTGAAGAAACAATGCAGTATTACATTGTTTGTCACAATAAAAACATTATCTCTCAGCATGCAGTTACTTGTTAACTGACTACTAGTTAACTGTCACCAGACAGACTGCTTGTGCGTAAATACAGCTTTTGAAATCACTTATATATACATATATGTATATATAAGTTCAACCTAATTTTAGAAAATGAATTGATAGGGTTACATGTGTCATGTCATTTCATCTATTGGACATCATACACTTACAAAAAGATAAAACTACAGGAAGACCACTTACTTTAAGAGCAGCAGTGACGAAACAGAAAAGTATGGCTGTGTAAACCTCAGAATTTCCCTGGTACTCCAACAGATGGCGAAAAAAAACCTCCTTAGACTAAACCCTGGTCATTTGTTATCCTCAAATACAAAAATGTTTCCTGAATATATTATATTTTAGCTGATCAGTAACATGTTGGGATCAGAAACAAGACACAGATCATGGCTGAGACTCAGTTCCAGAGGAAATATTTCCTCAGATATTTTTTTTGTTGCTTTTTATAAACATTTTTGGTATAAATTGAGTCACTAACTATAATTTGACAAAATTAAAGTTTTAAAATTAAATATCTGCAAAATTAAAACAGAAAAGCTAAAAATCTGTCCCTTGTTTTAATTTGAATAAAAATATGTAATGAAACTCATTGTAATTTCTAGATGGAAAATATTAAACTGCCATTATTAAAAAAATATCCTAAGTAAGAAGACTGTATACAATAAATAAATGATGTGCAGTGATGTAGCTGAGGCACCGGATCTTGACAATTTTCATTCACTCAACTCACTCAGACTCAGGGTTGTTACCGTCCTGTGCTTTTTTGTCATTTAAACGGTAGCATTTTCATCAGTTTGTGTAGTTTTCGTCCTGGTTACCGGTTTGAGAACTGGAGCTGACGGTATTCCCTGTCAGAGCTCCTCACACGCCACCTCCGCTGCGGTCCACCGTCACTGGCCCCCTCTTTTCCAGAGTCTCCTCTGCTGTCTTCATCAGGATGGCCAGACGACTGCCTGACACTTGGCCCTTTTTAACTGCGCTCATCAGCTGTAGGGCAGAGCAGGGGGAGGGGCGGAGGTCAACGGGTTGAATCAGAAGCAACAGGGAACATGAAGTGGTTCGGTCGTGCCGTATAAGAAAAAAAAAAGACCCTCCAGCCACAGTCTCCACAAGTGTTCTACCACCTCCACATGCCGCGTTTAAGGAGAAAATGAAACCAACACCAACCTTCCTTATGTGTAAAGCTGAACTAAATATTTATAAAAAAGGGGAAAACTTTTAAAGATTCCCATGAACTTGACAATGAGAGGTACTGGGGGGGAGTAGTCTGTGAATAATAAATTGATTACATCATTAAGAAGTAAAATGTATTTACAAGCTTTGCTTAATGGCTGTGGGTAAAAAGAAAAAAAAGCATTGCTGCTCAACTCTTAGGATAAAATACTTTTCTTTACCTTTAATTAAAACATTTTATTTTTTAACTAGGGTTACCTAGTGCAGCTTTGACACTTTTCAGATACCATTTTACTCTGTTTTTTTAGTTTCAGAGTTGTTGAGGTTTTTTTATTACACAATTTTTGCACTTTAGGGTTAAAAATTGTGTAATTTGTGTTGTTATGCAGGTCAGTCTTCCAGGTATGTTTCATACAGTAGAGAGAGGTGACAGCAACATGATTCCACATCAGTGCTACGCTACCTGTTTGTTGTCCCTAAGTCATCCAAGGGTCAGGTGGAACAAAGACAGGCAGAAACAAACATGAACAAGATGACACTCAGCATCATAATCACAACACCATTATGTTCTGATCAATAATAATAATTGTCTAGTGTTTCACTCATTTTGATTTGTTGTTTCCTCAGAGAGTCAGAGCCTCTAACCAATTATCAGCTGTCACCAACCTCTGCTTTAATGACTTGGTGAGAAAGTCATTTACATGCAGGCGGATGTTGCAGCCACTTTAGAACTCATTAAACGAGTCACTGGCCGAGATTTCTCAGCTCTCATTAGTTTCAACTCAAACCTGCTGGTTTTCAGACTTTACACTTTCTGTGTTCCTGATGTTCACCAGTAGACAATTAGTTCATCTGTGAGGAGGAAAATATATACAGTACCGGCTCTGGATAGGGAAAAAAATAATCAAGAATAAGGATGATTTATTTGCTTATATTGGGGACTATAATAGATGTAGCTTTCATTTCATTTCCTGCTGGAGTTGAGGCGATAATAATGAGAAAACAGGGGAAGGAAAGAAGACAGGAAAGAG